CCCCCGAGCATTTCAAGTTTCCAGGGTATTTTCGTTTTGTTGCCCCCTTTGCAATGAAAAACCAGCGGGGAAAATCGGGGCGAAGACGGAGCCCGGAGCCACCGAAACCCTAAATTTCGGGGGGGGAAGGAGATTTGGGGAGCAGTGAATTAATACAAATTCCCAGCCTCTCCCGGGGGGGCGCTGTGGGGAGTGGGTGCTGGCTGGGGGGGGACTCCTGAGGGGAGGTCAGTGGTTGGGGGCTGGAATGGGGCCCCGGGGGTTGTTGGGGGTATGTTGGGGCTGGGGAAAGAGGGGGAGGTGGAGGGGGACAGTGCTGAGGAGTTGGGGAGGCAGAGGGGCGTTAAGGGGACTTGGGGGGTGGGCTGTATTCACAGTGCAGACTTGGGAATTTGGGGGGTCCTGGTTCCAGTGCAGCCTCAGGGAAATTTGGGGGGGGGCGTGGGAGGGATTTGGGGCTCAAGGTAGGTTTGTTTCTAGTGCAGACTCAGAAGTTCAGGGGTGCTTGGGGGAAGTTTTTGGGGCCCGGGGAGGGTCATGTTTCCTGAGCAGACACAGGGGAAACTAGGACGGCGGGGCAGGTGTAGGGGGGCATTGACAGTGCAGACTCCGAGGAGTTTGGGGGTGCTGTGGGGTGGTTTGGGGGGCTCATCTTTCCAGTGCAGAGACAGGGGAATTTGGGGTTGCTGAGGCGAGAGACGGGGAGTCTCATTTCCAGTGCAGGCTCAAAGGAATTTGGGGGTGCAGTGGGGTTAACTTTTCCAGTGCAAACTCAGGGGGTTGGGGGGGGCTCAGGGGTGGCCGTATTCCCAGTGCAGACTCAGAGGGTTTGGGGGTGCAGGGAGGTTCGGGGGGAACTTGAGGGGTCCCTTTGATTTCAGCTCCGGGACCCTCGGCCTTTTCCCCACTACTTCAGTAGGCAATTCGGGGTCTGTCCCGCCGTGGCTGGCTGTTTCCGCCCCCCCTTTCTCCTTCCTTCTGGCCACCCCGAACCCCAAAGCTGCCTCCAGCCGCCTTCATCTCTCGTCCTTCTTGGAAACTTTCGACGAATGCCAGGCCGTCGACCTGTGGGGAAACGAGGGTTCAAATCCAGCACGGGGGGCTGGCTGGGGAGCAGTGGGGAGCAGGGTGGGGGGCTGGTTGCGGGATGGAGCAGGGGGACACTGTGTGGCAGGGCTGGCTGGGGTGGGGGGCGCCATGGAGGAGAGCTAGTGGGGGGGCGTGGGGCACAGGCTGGCGGGGGCCGGCATGGGAGCCGGTGACGTTGTGGGGCGCAGGCTGGCGGGGGGCACCATGGGGCGGAGGTGAGGGGGGCTGGCTGGGGCTGTGGACACCGTGGGGCTCAGGCTGGTTGGGGGCCGTGTGGGGCAGAGGTGGGGGGCCCTATGAGGTGGAAGGAGGGGTTGAGGGGTGCTGTGGGGTGCAGGCTGGCGGGGGGTGCTCTGGGGCAGAGGCGGGGGCAGTGTGAGGTGGAGGCCGGTGGGGGGCACTGAGGGGTGGAGGTGGGGGGTGTCGTGGGGCAGAGGTGGGGGCGCTGTAGGGCGGAGGCGGGGGGGCACCGTGGGGCGGGGGCACCGTGGGGCAGAGGTGGGGGCGCTGTGGGGTGGAGGCGGGGGGGCACCGTGGGGCGGGGGCACCGTGGGGCAGAGGTGGGGGCGCTGTGG